TACATATTACCCTCCCCAGACCCCACTTGTGGGATTATACTGGGTTGTTGTTGTTGTTGTTATCTTAGTCTTGACACAAACTTTACTAAAGAAGGGAAGACTTTTGAGATATATATTCTTAAATAAATCATAGCATTTGTACGGCGGTAAAACTTTTGAAATTTGTGGTCTGAAATCTGACATAGCATTTATGTGGCTATAAATTCTTCTTATTAAGGAAATATTGAAAGGTGTTAATCTTTTTCAAACAGACTAATAAGAAAACGGAAAAGGGTCATAAATGCCCTTAACCTATCAAAAATGGCTCAAAAATGCCCCTCATCCACCTTTTGGCCCAAAAATGCCACTAACGTTTTCTTTAGTATTAAAAGTGCCCCTTGAACTAACAGACAACAACAGTTGACTGTATGGGGCTTTTGCAAATCCACGTGGCACTCTTTGATTGTTCAATATTAAACAACTTTAGCTTTTGTCATTAAAGTAAGTGTCAAGATATGTATTTTAACACCAAAAATTGTAGCTTTTCAGTTGCTAAAATACAGGTAATTAACTTTAAAATTATAGTAGAATTTTAGCCGAATAAATGGAACCAATTTTTAGGTAAAGAAAGCATACAACCATGTCAATTAATACTTACACCAGAAGATCTAGTTTTTTTACACAACAAAAAATGAAATTGTGATAATAAACTTGAAAGGAAGAAAAGAAAAATTTAAGTAAGGAACTGGAAGAGAAAAGAAAGAGTTGAAGAATCCTATTAGAATATGTGGGTTGGGTCTAATTATATTTTTAATATTGACCAATCAAAGAGTGCCACGTGGATTTGCAAAAGCCCCACATAGTCAACTGTTATTGTGTGTTAGTTTAAGGGGCACTTTTTATACCAAAGAAAACGTTAGTGGTATTTTTGAGCCAAAAGATGGATGAAGGGCATTTTTGAGCCATTTCTGATAGGTTAAGGGCATTTATGACCTTTTTCCGATAAGAAAATAATGTTAGTCTTTTTAAAATGGTGGAATACTACTTTAAGTAAAATTAAATATACCTGATGGAAACCGGGTTCTTTCGTGAGAGAAACGCCAATCTCAGTCACACAACTACCAATCTTTTGATCAGAAGCGTACAGGTAATGGTAGCGATTAATGCAACCATCTAATATCTTCACGAGCTCCGCCGCCAGAGGATAACTAATAGCAATGCCACCGCCACCGAATGCCTGACTGTATGAACCTAATACGTTTATCTCCACGCTTTCGGAAATCCCACCAATGTAATACATTTGGTTGTGATCATATTTAGTCAAAACTGTCACCAAATTCTCAGTAAAAAACACAGTATCGTCATCTCCCATTACGAACCATCTCACATTGTTTAAACCTAGTTCAAAACTCTCTTTTAAAATTCTCGCAATCCTCACAGCTGACCTGTCACCAAACCAACATGTATATTTGAATGTGGAAGTGTCTTCGGAAACCCTATATGGTGGGAATGTCTCCGGCCATGGCTCGTTTTCTTGGGGAATTTCATCGAGCCACACGAACCCTCGCGTTACATTTGGTCTCCACCAGAGCTCAGAGTAACTCGAGCGATTGTTCCATGATTTAGTCGACCCTCCAATGCCAAAGAGAATGTGGGATATGTTTGTTTCTTCTTCTTCTTTGCTGATATTTTCTTGTTTATTTGTAACCGCAGCAGTATCATAAGCATATTTTTTGAAGAGATGAGCATTGGAGATTAGATAAATGGAGGCCACTAAGCAGAACGTAATGAGAAAGCTCTTGATAATGAAAATGGTGCAAAGTTTTGGGACTAATTTGTGATTATTAGGGAAAGGGACGTAACGTTTCCGGAGAGACATCTCCTTCATTTTGTAAAGATTAATTATGACTCTTTGTTCAATGGATAGTGGTCTTCTACTTAAAACCTATTGAACTAAAGGCTTGCATCTTATTTCTTGCTGCTTGATTTCCTACGTAGTTATGGAATTTGCTTTTTTAAAACCAGATTTTATACTTATGTTTTATTTTGAACTATATTGATGTACACAATGTAATAAAATTTACACTTATCATATTTACTTGTTATAGCAGGTAATTTGCATTACTTCAAAATTATCAATTTCACTTTTTTATGAAAAGATTTTTCTAAGTATCATTTGAGGGTAGTGCATAAGTTAAACTCGTAAGTCGTAATCCCTTTGTCCCAATTTATATGTCAAAACTTAGATTTCGGGAGTCAAACTTCTTAATTTTAACTATAAATTCAAATACAAAATTTGTATAAAAATAAAAAGTACTATAAATTACAATAATTTATATTCAAAAAGCATATGAAAGAATCGCAGTCAAAGAAAATTTATTTATTTTAAAAAGTATTATAAGTTACACGAAGAAAGTACTATTTTTACTTGGATGAATAAAATTATCTGGGAGACGGAGGACTGTAGTGGACAACTATTCAAATCTCGAGGAATGACTTTGTATCATCAATTCGAGCTAACGTAATATCATTATTTCCATTAATTTACAAAATAAGGTTGAACTAATCCATAGGGTAGCCACGTTGCAGTGGAGCCATTTTGGGTCACCCCTTTCAATGAAAATAAAATGGATGAGTTAGATAATCCATGCAACTTTTGAAGTTTTCATTGAGATTAGAACTTTGGATCAATATCTACAATACTTAAGTTATTATCACTTAGTTATTTATACATTTTGAGGATTACATAGATCTTGTAGAAGCAATAATCTATTTGAAGAAGTGCGTACGCTATTATTAAGATTCACGGCAATGGGCTTAATATATATCTTTAGAATCAGGCCCCAGTTTAACCAGAAGTGCATCAATTAGTCACTTTTAAGTCCGCTTTTTAAAATATATCCACAATTTATAATATATTTAAAAATTAACCAATTCACCCAAACTTCAGGTTTAAGTATTCTGAATCTGAAAGCTACTAATTTAAAATTCAGGACATAAGATTCGAACTTCTGGACACAATTTTCAAATTGTACGACACAATGTCCTAAAGTTTGAACTTTGAGGTTTAAACCCTATGATGTTGTGTCCTAAAGTTTGAGCGAAATTGGCTAATCTTTAAATACAGTGTAAACTTTGAATATATTTTAAATAACATACTTAAAAATGGCCACCTAACAAAGTTCAGTCATGATAAATTCAGTCATGAAAAAAGGTAAAAATTGCATGGGGCGCCCTATTTGGTCGTCCCCTTTAACTTATACTCGTTTTTGTCACGACTCAAACTACCATGTCGTGATCGCGCCAATCGTGGTACTAGGCAAGCCGACTCTTTACCAAAAACAACACGATATTTCAATTTAAAGATAACTTCAAGTTGTTCAATAATAAAACTCCATAAAGAAATTCTAAATAACGAAAGTACGGAAAGAAAAGCCCGACATCGGGGTGTCACTAGTCATGAGCATCTACTACAATCTGTCCAAAAATACTGAGACCAACAAAGTCTGGAAATGTAACTACAAACAACTATAGGAAGATAGGAGGGAGAAGAGCAGGGCTGTGATCGCCAGCAGCTACTTTGCTAACTCCGAGAAGATCTACAGCTGGAATAGTCAACAGCCGCTATCGGGTACTGATACGCCTGGATCTGCACACAAAGTCCAGGGAGTAACGTGAGTACGCCAACTCAGTAAGTAACCAAAGTCAATAAAGGCTGAGAAGTTGTGACGAGCAATAAAGCATTTAAAGTTCATATCATGATATCTCAGTAAGATACAACAGACTTTTAAAATCAGGGTTGAATCAAATCATCTTTAAACCTAGTTCTGTTAAATATTATTTAAATATATTTTTCAATAGTCTTCAAACAAGGCTCAATGCAAAGTTGAGCAAAAATGATGAAATCTTGAACAACCCCTCGTGCAAAACATCACTCATATATAGCTCCTCGGACAAACGTCACAGTTTCTCGTATACAGCACTTCGGGCATACCTCACCATCACTCATGCCTCCCAACCACTCAGCACTCGGCACTCGCACTCAGTAGGTACTTGCACTCACTGGGGGTGTGCAGACTCCGGAGGGGCTCCTTCGGTCCAAGTGCTACAACAAGCCAACTCGTGACATAAATCAATCAGGCCCTCGGTCTCATTCAATCATGAATCAGTAAAACCTATTGCGGCGTGCAATCCGGTCCCATAAATACCTCACAAATCAGGCCCTCGGCCTCACTTAGTCATAAACCTCTCAAGCCACGCGGGCTCTCAGTAAAATAGGGTACTCTACCTAAAACAAAATTTATACATATCAAAACAGAGTAATAATGACTAAGTTATGAAATCAATAAGTATAACATGACTGAGTATAGATTTTCAATAGAAAACAGTGAGAGGATAGTAAGAAAAAGGCCCCTAAGGGTCCAAATAGCTCTGACGCAAGGCCTAAACATGGCAGTCAGCCCAATTTATAGAAACTCTTTCTAAAACACATAAGTATCATATAGTTTCAACCAAATATGCAACTTATAGTCGTTACGGGACGGATCAAGCCACAATTCCCAAAGGTGCACGCCCACACGCCCGTCACCTAGCATGTGCGTCAATTCAAAATAGTAAAACGATATGAAATCCGGGGTTTCATACCCTCAGGACTAGATTTACAATCGTTACTTACCTCAAACCGGTCAAATCTCTACTCTACGATACTCTTGCCCCTCGACTCGGCCTCTAATCGCCCCAAATATATTCACAACTAGAACAATACCATCAATATGTGCTAACGGAATGAATTCCACAAGAAAAACTATGAAATTAGACACAAATCCCAAAATCCACTCAATTCGAGGCCATGTCTCGGAATCCGACAAAAGTCAGAAAACTAGAAAGCTTATTCACTCACGAGTCTACCCATACCAAATTCATCAAAATTCGACATCAAATGGTCCTTCAAATCCTCAAATCAAACTCTGCAACTCCCAAGCCCTAACCCCTCATTTCCACCCCTAATCTTCACTAATTATATGATTAAACAATGAAAAATCCCCACATATACAAGTATTAGGGCTCAAACAACTTACCTTACTGATAATTCCTTGAATCCCTCTTCAAAATCACCCCAAAAGCTCTAAACCCGTCTTCAAAAATGGTGAAAATGGGCAAAATTTGTGAAGGGTTCAATCTATAGGTTCTGCCTAGCAAAACCACATTTGCGATCTAAATACCCGCTTCTACGACGCCGCACCTGCGGAAAAACTATCGCAGGTGCAGGTTCCACTTACTCCTCAAAATCCACATCTGCGCCAACATATCGCACCTGCGGTCTCGCAGGTGCGCTCCAATTTTCGCACCTGCACTTCCAGCGCAACCCACTCCTACCCGCATCTGCAAGCCTCTTTCCGTTTTTGCGGACCTCGCACCTGCGACTTCCCTTCCGCAGGTGTGTAAACACCAGCAGAATCACACCAACAGTTTTCATCAACTCTCAAACACCAAAAACAATCCGTCACCCATCCGAAACACACTCGAGGACCTCCGGACCTCAACCAATAATACCAACAAGTCACATATCAATATACAAACTTAGTCGAACCTTTGGAACACTCTAAACAACATCAAAACACCAAATTCCTCTCGGATTCAAGCCTAAGAACTTCTAAACTTCCAAATTTCACAAACGATGTCGAAACCTACCAAACCTCATCTGAATGACCTGAAATTTTGCACACACGTCACAAATGATACTACAAATCTACCCCAACTTTTGAAATTTCATTCCAACCTCGATATCAAAATTTCCACTATCGATCAAAATCGCCAAAAATTCAACTTTCGCCAATTCAAACCTAATTCTACCACGGACCTCCAAATCACATTCTAGATACGCTCCCAAGTCCAAAATCACCTAACGGGGCTAACCAGACCATAAAAATCTAAATCCGATATCGTTTACTCATAAGTCAACTTCTGGTTGATTTTTCAAATCTAAACTTCTAAATAGGAGACTAAGTGTCTCATTCCACACCGAAACCACTCTGGACCCAAACCAACCAACACGATACAATAAAATATAGTTGAGGAAGACAAAATGAAGCAAAAATGGGGGAACCGGGGCTATAACTCACGAAATGACCGGTCGGGTCATTACAGTTTTTTTTCGTTTGCGTCCTTACTCATTTTTTTGTTAAACATATTTTACAAAGACAATTTTGCCCTTCAGGACTAATAACAAAACTGTAGACTGCAAGACAAAGCTTCAGCATGTTTTGGCATGAAGTTTTAGCAAATGAACTAAATAACTTAAGCATGTTTAGTATAAAGTTTTAGCAAATGAAGTAAATAAGTTAAGCATGTTTAGACTGAATTTTTAGCAAATGAACTAAATAACTTAAGCATGTTTAGTCTAAAGTTTTAGCAAATGAACTAAATAACTTAAGCATGTTTAGTCTAAAGTTTTAGCAAATGAACTAAATACTTCATAATGCATTAGCAAAAACTCATTAGAAAATTACATACTGCAAGACAAAAACTTAAGCATGTTTAGTCTCAAGTTTTCGCATATGAACTAAATAACTTCAGCATGTTTAAACTGAAGTTTTAGAAAATGAACTAAATAACTTAAGCATGTTTAGTCTGAAATTTTAGCAAATGAACTAAATAACTTCAACATGCATTAGCAAAACTCATTAGAAAATTACATACAACAAGATAAAAACTTAAGCATATTTAGTCTGAAGTTTTCGCAAATGAACCAAATAACTTCAGTATGTTTAAACTGAAGTTTTAGCAAATGAACTAAATAACTTAAGCATGTTTAGTCTGAAGTTTTAGCAAATGAACTAAATAACTTCAGCATGCATTAGCAAAAAATCATTAGAAAATGATATACTG